TTTTTTAAAGTAACTAAAGACACTGCGGTACTTCTCTATCAAACGCCGGCTGCATGTGAGGTTCTTTGCTCCCAGTATGGTATGGCAGTGGTAGACAACACCACCACCGCTACCCAGACAATATCTGTCGCTTTGGAATCTGCTCGATTGGCTTTTGGCACTTTCCAGACCTGCTGGACAGGAACTGAAGGGATGCACATTTCTGTGCTCATCTGGCGTCTGTCCATGGTAGCCGATCTGTTTGTAAAGTGGCTGGGCAGTTTTGCCAAGTACCAGGCTCCAGCATCTTTCCATGATTAACACACGCATTTGGTGAGCTAAGGGAGTTTCCGCAACTCCTGAACACGCCAGTGGTGAGTGCAGATCTAACAGCCACTTCAGAGTTGAGCTGACCAATGCCTTCGGGAACTGGAATACTTAACCAACGTCCACCTGTGAACTTCTCTGTACCAGGTTAGGAAAAAAAAACTGCTCTTAGTGTGTCCAAGTACAACATTTAATTCAGGCCAGGAATTAACCTGGTAGCATGGAGACCAACACTTAACACATATTCCAAGTGAGGTCCAACTTAATAATTGACTATCTTTACACTAAATATTTTCTAAGTGCTCTTGTAGCCTTTCCACTGACGTTACAACACCTATTTCTGAACCATCTGCAAATATGACAGGTTTTCTGTCCATCCCAGAGTCAGAAATCAATTATATAGATTGGGAAGAGCAGCAGTCCAAGAACTGACCTCCGCAGTACTGCCCTACAGACCTATTATGTGCACATGAGCATATTTTTTTTTTATTCATGTGCACACATTACACAGAAATTCTGAAATTTGAACTATCCATCCATTTTCTAACTAATTATCCCAATACAGGGTCATAAGGAAGCTGGAGCCTATCCCGGCAAGCAACGAGCACAAGGCAGGGTACCTCAAACGTACATGTGCCTTCCAACGTACAAGCTGAAATACTAGGTACACAGCACCACAAAGGGTTAATGTGCAAGGGATGTAGATTTGTAGGTCACGGTGTGACTGTTCTCCCAAAATATCCCTCAAGCATCAACTCTGTCCTTGCAAAGATTTACAATCAAGTCACTGTAGCCTTTGAATTAACACCTCGTGTAAGAGTATGCGCCCCTTCCACCAGCCCCAGTGCACGCCCACCTCTTCAGTTCTGCGCCACGAGAGCTTTGAGCTCTTAAGCGAACATGACATAAACACTGAAGATTTGAACTGGAAGCCCAGAAAAGTTACAGGCTTGCCAAATTCCATGGTACTTTCCATCTTGTTCTAATTATTTGCCTTTTCTAGGAATTTTTTTTTTTGGGTTGCATGTTCTTTTCCAGGTCTTGCAAATGGCATTGATTATGGCATACAAAAGCAATGCTTTTGATCAGATTTCTGTCAATTTGGCTTCACCACAAAAAGCAGAGTCTGGTCAATATACTGGGCGCCAGTATTTTGTTGAGCAGCACGATTTTCCAAAGCCAAACATATTTTGCTATATTGCAGTAAAGGAGACCAACTGCGCATCCTAATCCATAAACAGAATCCACGGTCAAGAACATGTTGTGCCAAAGAAGACTACAACTGTCCTGGCCGCTGGAAACCTTTGTACAGCAAAAGGACATCTGTACAGAGACGCGCAGGATTATCTCGAAAGGAGGCACCCGTCAATTTGGCACAAGGATCCACAAAGAAATTCAAAAGCATTTAAAGTGACAAATGAAATTAAATGGAACATAATCTATAGAAAATCCACAAGTCAGGAAGACAACCCAGGGGAAAAAAGAAACATCAAAGGACCAGTTAACTTAGTCGATGCTGGATTATTAGAAACAAAAGGGGCAGACGTAACCATATTAGCAGAAGATAATGAAGTCAGTGGAATCACAACTACATGTTAAACAGAGAACAGTGGTAATACAATATCAGAGGAGAGAGAGACAGGATCACTGGAAGAGGGGGAAGTTTAGCACTATATGGCACAAAGAACATTCAAGTGCAAGAGCTGAATCTTGACAAATGAAGGATATATATTGGTTGCTTTGATTTAAAAGGCATAGTTTTGGGAGTATCCTAGAGACTTGCACAATCAGATGACATTTATAATATATCCTTTGGCACTTTATCTCAGGAATATAGTATCAATATTATAAGGAAGAAACGATTAATTTCCCTTATATAGTCGGAAACTGAACTCCCATCCCTAAAACTGAAATGGTAGACATTAGCCACTGCTTTCTTACTCCATAGGAGTACTTACTAGAAAGAACGCCCTTATTCATCTAGTGTTCTCAAATAAGCAAGACAGAGTGAGGAAAACAAAGGTAAGAGAACTGTGATCATATTATGGTACGCTTTGAGGTAAAAACCTGTAACAGTACAAAACAAATGTCAAGAATTCCACAGAAGCAGACTGAAGGAATGAAACAGAGACTAAGAGAAGCAGAATGGAGTCGGACAATACAATGCAAAAAGAGAACAGCTGATGACAGTTTAAAGATATTCTGCTTGAAGCTTAAAACAGATTCAACCCGAGACTAAATCAAAGTCTAGTAATCAGTGACCGTATGGCTTAAATCACTAACAAATAAAAATATAAGATGAAAGAAAGTGTATTACAAAATGATTAATTAGGTACTAGAAGCACTATGTTAAGATAACCAAATCACCAGGGCCTGATGCTATTCAATCGGCTGCATTTAGAGAAGTAAGAAATGTTGGAGTCCATTATATATGTTGTTACAAATGGGAGGTTATGCGAATTTACTAATTTAGCGGTTTAGTCAATAAAATAATAAAATAAATAATCATAACCCACAACTTGTAAGGATTTTGCCAAGAATATACTTAAGTGGTTGGTATGATTAGAGGCACATGAGTTATTTGTTCTCTGGTACAGCTTTGGTGAAAAAAGTAACGATTCACACACAGTGTGTTAAGCAAACATTTATTTAAAAACTTACAGCACACTAAACATACAACGTACAAGTTACTGAATTTTAAAATTTACAGTCAAGGCATTCCAGAAGCCTACGTCTAGACCACCCAGAAAGCCCTCCGACTGCTAACATGTATTCAAACTCATAACACCTACAAAGGCCAGAATAGGACAAAGCTGCATTCTAAACCTAACAAAATACAACTTGTGGTTAAATCTCTCTCTGTAAATCCAGATGCCACCAAATTTAAGGGAACCTATCTCCCCATTCCAAAAATGCACCCACTACATAGGAGAGGCTGTTTTTAACAGAGGAATCCTTCACTCCGGAAATCAGAATTCCCTAAAAAACAGAATAGTGAGCTCTCTTAGAAAGGTGCAAATACTTAGCACCAATCTGGTGTTTATGGGTGATGTAGACAAGGACCTCTCACCCGGCACTTGGTTTGTGTTCTGTATCCTAGTGTATCCTCTCTTGTTCTGTTCTGATCCTCCCGCCCTCCATGTATCTCTGTCTTTTTATCCCTTCGACACTCTTAATTATTTTCCCAGAACGAAGGTGAACATCAGAACTAAGTTAAATTAACTCAAATAAACCAGAAGATTCTTTTGATCAGCATCTCACATACAGCACAACCTCAGAACTACGGCAATTAAGTAATGATAGATGGAAAATAAACATGGTTTGAAGCTCTATAAAGTGGAAATGACACTAGTTAGGTGCTACCAATTTGTACCTAGATTCTTAGAGACACTTACATTGTCACTTACCATAGCCTGTAACGATATCATAGATCATGAACACCCTTTTCTTCCCGAAGTACCACTGATCTTTGCAACAGTCAAGTTCGGGTTATACTTTTAAATACCAGATGTAAGTAAAATTATTACTACCATTTTTGTCGATTCGTTTACAGCGTGGTTTCGAATAACCATTTATGAAGTCAAAGCACGATTTTAAACTTTGACGGCAGAAATCATTTTTCGTCCAGTGGTGACACTGCAGTCGTGCTTTCGATTAGAAATGTTTATATCGAAACGTAACGTACTTGTTTCGCTTTCTAATGAGTCTGTTCCATCCGGTCTGTAACCACAAACTTCGCGCTTGCATGATGTTAACGTGACTCACGTAACTGTCTTTTTTTTTTTTTTTCGACTACCCAGGAAGAAACTCTCACAACGACTACCCAGGAAGAAACTCTCACAACAACCCCCCCCCAACGCTGTACTCACAGTCGTGCTAATTCCGCCTCTTCCTTTTACTCAGCTTTGTGACCTCCGACCCGGCAGTAATTTCAACCAACGATGGAGGAGGAGTGGAGAGAGCTTTAATTGTCTTTATATAAACAGAAAATTCACTGCAAATTCTTCTCGCAAAAATATAAACCGCAGAGCGACCGCTGTCCCTGGTAATCGGAGTATGACGGTACCGAGGCCCTGAACATTTCGTCAACAGGTGCAGGATGTCAATGGAGGACCCGTTTTTCGTGGTGAAGGGGTGAGTTTTGAGCTCTCTGCTCCTGTAACCTAGAACAATGGTGGATTGTTTTCCAGTCGAGCCCAGCCAAAGTCTGGGATAACGCAGTCTCTGGGGAGAGACAAGGCGGTGTTGTCGCCTCAGGGTCTCGTTGAAGTCTTACCGTATTTTAGTGTTTTCAATGGCGGTTCTGTATGTTTTGCATACAACGAATGGTGAGCAGGATTGACCGTTAGGCCTGTAACACGTTTTAACATGATTTGTAGAGTAAATGTGATGGGGAACTTGCGTTTTGTTGTAAGACAGCAGCCATCCGCTGAGTCTCACTGCTTCTCCTTACGTTTTAAAATCCGCTTGTGGATTTTGAGACCCGGGTCCGATGCACGGCTTGGCGTGTTATCACAATTCAGCTTGTTTTTATATAGCGCCTTTCACAACAAGGTGGCCCCAAGGCGTTTAACAAAGCAAGGGGATGTTTTCTTTTGATGGCAAAGGGTTTTTCTCTTCTCCAGTTTGCTCTTGTCGAAGCTAGTTCCATCGTCAGAATTGATAGTGTCCCACACCGTTTTCACTTGAGCCCGTTAGTCGTGACGTGCTATTGTAGGGCTGAAGACAGTGTCCCGACAGTGACCGTCCACAACTGCTACCTCAGACTTTTCCCTGGCTGGGGAGGAAAGACCCATTGCATCGCATTATGAGTCACTGGTATTTTTCCATGACGCGCTACCCTGACCTTTGGCTCCATGAGTGGATTGCTCCAAACTCATGAGTAAACCCGCGGAGGTCGGCGATCATAGTTCTGCTTCACTATCGCCGTGTGCACAAAGACAGATGCCTTGGGAAAACATAAACATTGATTAAACTGCGTGAGTAACTGCTGCAGTTGTTTTTTTTTTATATCTGTAAGCTATTTTCTTTTAGGAAAATGGCATCAAGACATTTTCGAAGCTACATATGGGAGATTAATTTCCCCCATTTAGCACAAAATAGCGCATTAGTTGCTGCTGGCTAAAATACTACCTGAAATATTTAGGTGCCTACTGCGTGATGGACGTTCCATCTATCTAAAATAATCATCTAAAAAAAAATGAAGCAAAACTAAACATAAAGATGTATTCCATGCTGAAAAGAGAAGAAAGGAAACAGTGTTTCAGCTGTTGAGCCTTCTTTGGGTATGAGGGCGAGCTTAACGTAATTTACTGTCTCAAAAACTCAAAACAAGACAGTTCTAAGGTATTGTCTCGTAAATAAGCAGCAAGGTAACAGACAATCCAAGACACAAGTCTATCGAGAAGAAAGCCACTAATTCCTGCAGAGGGTTGTGCAGTTTGGAGACTACCCTGGAAGCACAGAGCACAAGGCAGGACTACTGATGGGATACCAGTCCACCACTGGGCACACAGGAACAATTACACACTCCTTCTGATCCATCTGACCCAGCCAGCATGTCTGGGGTAGGTGGGTGGAAACTGGCACTCACAGAACGAGCCCATATTGAAGTAATTTAAGGTTTCAGTGAGATGACCTGATTGATACCATGAGGTTTAAGACTGAAACCAGTCTGTTTGAATTGAGAATGATCTCATTTGTAACTCACTAAAACCAGGTGTGTGGTTATTTCTGCATGCTGGGGGTGAAATACAGTAGTGGATCTACAGTAGGGGAGGGAGGAGGAATATAGGAGCTTGATTACCAATTTTGTGGAGTGGTGTCATCTTAACCATCTCCAGCTTAACACCAGCAAGACCAAAGAAATTATCTTTGACTTTCGAAGGAATAAGTCTCCGCTAAACCCTGTTTCCATCCAGGGTGAGGACATAGAGGGCGTACATTCCTACAAGTACTTAGGGGTACACCTGGATGATAAGCTGGAGTGGTCTGGTAACACTGATGCCCTGTACAAGAAAGGTCAGAGCCAACTCTATTTTCTTAGGAGACTCAGGTCCTTTGGTGTGTGTGGAACACTGCTACACATTTTTTATGAATCAGTGGTGGCGGCGGCCATTTTCTACGCTGTGGTGTGCTGGGGCAGCAGCATCATGACAAAAGATGTAAATAGGCTCAATAAACTCATCAAGAAGGCTGGCACTGTG